GATATGAATGAGGACGATATAAATCAGCTATTTGAATCGCATAATGTTGAACTCACTGAAAGATAACTCGTAGAACTGACGGAGAACAATTATGAAGCCCAAGAAAAAGGTGATGATGAAGTAGTCTCGGCACCAAAGGAGTTGACGAAGAAAACGCCTAATAAATGTTTTACCATGGCACACCATCTCACCGAGCTGTCAATCAGGGAAGATCCTACAATGGAAAGAAGTTTAAAAACTAAACGATAGGTTTTTGCAGCATTGGCACCATACAAGGAAGTTGAGAAGAATTTACGCAACGAAGCTAAACAGTCAAAAATTACGTTTTATTTTTCAAAAAATTAATATTTTTGTTAAAAAATTAACGTTTAATGTTCTCATACATAATATGTACAAACATACCTATGTTTATTATGTATTTAACAAAAGTTTATGTAATAAAATGTTTTTGTTTCGATATACGCGGTTTCTTTTTACGCGGTGTTTTCAAAGAGCGTTACCCCCGCGTAAAACGAGGGACGCCTGTATTCATTTTTACGCAGATTTAACTCTTGCGAAATTTTCCCAATAATCGGTTGTGTAATGTTCATGGAACAGTTCGTTTGCGTTCACATGAAGGAACAAAAATATCACACTTTGCATTCCATGCTCAAATTTCATATAACTGCATCTAAATTAATTTTTTCTACCAGCGTGCGGAAAGTACTAATTTTCAACACGCATCTGCGTGCGGAAAGTGGCACTTTTCGGCACAAGTGCTGCTTTCTCCACGCAGATGGGTGTGGAAAGTGAGTACTTTCCGCACGCTGTTAGAAAAATTCTTATACCTAACACTTGCGGAAGGTGTATCACTTTCCGCACTAGGTAAATAACTATTGAGTTTAAAGCCAGGGATGTAATCAAACGAGGCGGAATTAGGTGTTGGTGTTCCGTGTGGAAAAAAAAACTAAAATTTCACCTTATGCCTTGGCGGGTCATATCTCAGATTGGACTTTTTCTCTGTAGAGTACCTGTGGAGCGGTGAAGTTATGTAAGATTTCAGTCCTAGGTAGCACAGATCGGTACGAAGATGCGTTCAAAGCTTGCACGTTCGGAAGAAAAGTAAATTTTTGTGTTTTGGTAACTAAATTATGGCTACTTTTGTTCCTGAAAAGCATCAGATTCCATAATATATCACAAAATAAAAATATACGTTTGGTATATATGTTACCGGAAATCTGTATAATCCGGTACTCTATAGAATACCTAGGTAATGTATAGAATATCTAAAACGTGTAGGTTATGTATGAAATATTACTTGTTTTATACTTTGCCTAGATATTCTATATAATACCGAATGCGCAGCTGGTAATATATGTAAAAGACGCAGTTGCAAACAATACTGCGATAATAAGAAGTCTTTTGTCTTTAAATTAAGATTTTGTGCACTTGTTGTCACAAAGGTCACAATAGTTCAGCATGTAAAAATAAAGAAAGGTGTTTTTTGTACCATTTTTAAAGAGCACTCTAATTGTTAATTTTATTGAAGTTTATTTTAAGTAATATAAATTGTTTCATTTGCCCGTCATTTTATAGGTATGCCGGTTAACATTGATAAATTTAGACCAAGATTTATTTATTTTACACATTGCCGGTGGAACTGCAGGTACCCTATACAATCCCTAGGAATTGTATTCATCACCTAGGTAAAGTATGTAATGGATAATAATATTCATAACATTTCATACAATGCCTGGGCTACCCATTGCCTAGGTATTGTATAGAATTCCTGAATTATACAGATTACGGGTAACATTATATATTCCAGTCAAAGGTGTCTTTTCTCTGAAATATGTCACTGTTTTATTAGGGTGACAATTCGAATGCCTTCCGAAACAAAAAATCCACAAATATCGCGTTATGTGAATTGAATTTTATACTCTGGCCTTTAAATTGAACGATATGTCGTTGAATCCAATTTGAACAAAAATTGGCCATCGGGAACCATTTTTCCCCCTCGCTCCCTCTAAATCCCGCCTTTGGCATGACACCTTCAAACAAAAATTATTTTGCCCTTGAGATTGTCAGAAGATTGAAGAATGTATTGAAACCATACATAAATGATTTTTGAACCATTCCAAAAGTACATAATACGTAAAAAGTAATCAGCTATTCTGCTTCTATTTCTTTAATTTTCATATATAGTATGTGTGAGCGAAGTAGAGAGAACAGAAATTTTCGAAATGTTACTTTTTTTGACTTCTACATCACAGAAATTCATATTACTCATTACCATTGGTCCATATAAACATATGTATGCATGTCTGTTGGGTTCCTGGGTGTATTAAAACATTCTTTTGAACCGAATTAACTTCATGAAAGGTTTTAAACATTTCTGCACACCTTTAGGCGTATTGGCGTATTTTTTATGTTGCTTAAACAATTGATTTTCTAGTTCTAGATCTTTATAATGGTACCGACCAAAAACACTTATTTTGAGTTTGTATATCTACACGTAATTTGCAAATGTATGTAAATTGATACCTGGAAAATATAGATTAATCTAGCTTTTTAAACCGATCCAGTTTCATTAATAGCGCTAACAAAATTATATATTATGTATTCTGCCGCATCAGGCAAGCACGCGTATACCGTAAAGTTAATCAGCGCGACATTGGTGTTTTTTAAAATTACAATGCCAACAGACATGATATAAACAAATAAAAATATCGTTCCATCTAAAAAATTCGTATGGAAAACCCGACTGCCAATATCGTCTATCATTAGGTAAAATTAACAGCTATTCTGAGTCAGTGCGTCTGCAAAAAGTGGAGAATATGACAGATATAATGATATAGCTTCCATTTATTTTGAGTAATATGGACTTGAATTAATTTTTTCACTTGTATTGTCTAATCACTGGGTATACTGTGAATTGTAAACAAGACATATTAAAAATACCGTACCGAATACCGAAGTTCGTTTGTTTAGGGAAATATGATTACTCATTGTTTCCCGCTGATAATGGGTAATTTATCATAGAAAAAATGTTCATCAAATTTTTTTGGATTTGGTTATTCTTGTATCTAGATGGCTGGATACTGTTTGTATCCTCATTCCATGTGCGCATTTATAGGTAATGTATAGAAACTCAAAGGATATATCTTGGATAGATGGACAATAACATGTATGGTTTCAACAAGATGGAGCAACAGCCCACATAGGTTGTCGTTCAATGGCACTTCTGCGAGAAATGTTTCCTGGACACGTTGTTTCTTTGCGCGGCGACATCGGGTGGCCTCCGTACTCACCGGATTTGACCCCGTGTGATTTATTTCTTTGGGACTACCTGAAGGAAAAAGTGTACCAATATCGCCCCCAAACTCAAGACGTTCTCAAAGAGACGACAATCCAGGAAATTATTGCCATTCCGTCTGACATGATCTGCAGAGTGATGGAAAATTATCGGGCGAGGCTCACTCAGTGTAACAACAATGGAGGCGTACACTTGAGTGATATCATTTTCAAAACGCATAGACTTAAAATGGCATAATACATGCTTATAAAAAAAAATTATTCTATATCTTGTGTAGTTCAGTTTTTATCGGCTCTCCAAATCGGGGAAGCCCTTCTGCCCTCAACGTGTATATCACTCTCCATAGCCAAAGAGGAGGTCAAGCTTTAGCAGGTCCGGTGGTATCATGGCAGGTTGCATCACTTTTCAAATCTAGCAACGGTGATCTGAATGCTCAGGTCAACCTCAAATTGAGCTCTTGTTGAATATGTCCGATTTTGTGAAAACTAAGCTGAGATGGATTCGCATCTAGCAACAGTGCATCTTTAGTGTCTCTTTGAAGAAATTACGACTCCAGCTACAAAATTAGTTGGTTGAATAGGTTGTTTGGTTTCTTCCACAAACGCAAACCCAGTGATATAATAAAAAATGAATTTCATTGGTGGTGATTCTTACCCTGTACCATTTTTGTATTTTCTTGGTACTTCCTTCGAATCGTCTTCATTAATTTAACAACACTCTGATATACTCGCACCCCTAAAAGACATAACAATTCGGTGAATCGCATCACGCCTTATGACCAAACATGATTGTTGTTTCTGATGAGTAGCTAATACCATCATTACGCGAGCATTTTAGAACTTATTGAAGAACTCGGATGAACTTTCCATATCCACAGTTTAAATTTATAAAGAACTTGACCGACAGCGGTTAGTAGGTTAAATCGGTCAAATTGTAAAAATTTCAAACTGACAAGTTGATAACCTAGCTAAGAAAATCCACCTTTAGCATAAATTCTTCAACTCAGCTGTCTGTTAAAGTTCTGGTGCAAGCAAAACATCTAAGCTAAGGTTGAGCTTAGCTTAATCTTAGCAAGGCATTAAGGTTCCCCCACACCGAAGCAACTCAGCGATAGCGTCAGCGTTAAAAATCGCATTTAGCGCGATAGCTGCATGTTCACATCACCGCGGTACGGCAGTTTTCTTATCTGCGCGATATTCTCAAACGTTTTTTGATTTTTTATACAATATGTGTTCTTATGAAGAAGAACTATTATTACTATTGGCCTTAGCAGAAGATAAAAGGTGAAAAAGGTAAGTATTTTGATGATAATAATTAGTTAATAATAATCAATAATTGTGTTTAAGAAAAAATAAGAAATAGATACACGATATCAATAAACGAAGAAGGATACATATGGATAATATCATACTTTAATGCCCGAATTACGTAGAGATCCATAACATGTTTACGTAATACTTTTGAATGACTCCCGGTTGTTTTGATGAAATCTTGAATTTAATTAGAGTTGATCCCACACTTCATCCTTTTTCCAGTAATTTTTAGTCTTTGTGACTCAAATCGTACAATATTGGGCACTTCTCAACATGTTCAATCAATTTCTCCATTATGGACATCGTGAAAAACGTGGCGATATGCGAGACGAAATGCGTCAGCAACGTTTCTGAAATGAAACGCTGTCAAGGCGATAAACCGCGAGCCACCCCACCGCGCTGGTGTGACCGGTGTTATTTACCGTTCTGAAAACTGAGCACCGCATGGACAGCGGTGCGATTATCGCTATCGCCTTACTGCGTCGGTGTGGGGATGCTTTAAACCTCCCGCAAAACGCGCGTCGTTTTGCATAAAATATACCTTTGTTCCTAATTGTCGTAATAAGTTATTTGACATCAAACGAGGTTAAGATTACGACCGAAGATGGAGAATTTTCCAGTTTTAAAAGTGGTAGACTTACTAAGAATGCTGATGCTAATTTAGGTGAGGCATTTTACAGGATAGAAAAGTTGTTTTTAGACATTTGGAACTGGAATTTTGTAGGTGCAAACTGCGTCAAAGATCTTGGTGAAGCGTCTACCACCAAACCAAGTATGATATTTTCTGAGGAAAACAAATTAGATGAAGCAATAACAAAGAACGTCTGTCTATAAAAAAATTTATGGGGTTATCAGGTGCTCATTCAATAGCAGAGTATGGTGAAGCGTCTTCTAGCAAATTGAAACCGATATCCTCCAGAAAAAGTGAGGAACGTATATGCCAATCACCTGGTAAGTTCAAATGAAGCTGACTATATCCAAACTTATCGGGATTTTTTTAGGTATTGGACATGACTCTGCAGTAGCATGTTCCAGCAAATCAAGTGAGCCACTCTTCCGGAAGGTAGATGAAGACCAAATATCTGGTGAGTCTGTTATCAAATTAATTGTCTTAGTATGGTTGAAGCCTGCGTCCACCTTTTTTATTACGCGTTGGCGAGATTGACTGTATCCTGGGATTATCAGGCTTTTGTGCGTAAATGCCCAACGATTCTTCGGTGGTCAGTATGTTATACTGAATAAATCAAGAGATCAAGAGATTTCATTCAAGAGAATTGTGTTCAGTAATGACTTACGATGTTTTGTCAGTCGGCAAATAAATTCTTGACATAGTCGGCTACACGCTACACGACACGACATAGTGTCAAAAAGCCATTCACGTTGTACATCCTTCCCACGCCTTCGAATCAACTTATGGTAGCCTAATCATTTCAGACGAAAATACCCCTGGTTTGTGAAGTCTGGTTTCATTGTTGCAAGTTGTTTAAGGGGGTATTCAAAGCACGAACGCATAAAATGGGTACACCAATTTTTGTGGGAAAACTCTTTATTCGACAACAAAGAATGAGAAAACGTGTATTTGGGATTCAATCGAAAGTGTTGGCAGAAACGAAGAAACTCTCCACATAAGATTTTTAAATCTCTATGAGACCTACAGAAAGATCCGACTAATAACAAAAAAGTTATGGCCAAAAATCGAGGCAAACTACAGGTTTTGGCACTTGTTGGTAATGCGATGATGGTTTCTCGCAGATATTTAAAATTCCTCAAATTCGTAGGATTCATACTTCTAAAGAACCACAACAAAATTGGAGTAGATTGGTCAAGTAGTTTTTGATAATTTTTAACTGCTTATCCCAAAACACCTGTTTTCCGACCATCACTACTTGTTCATTGAGCAATATACAGGGTTAGTTCAAAGGGCATTTTATAGCAAAATACACTAGTTTACCTTGCCGATATGAATCGCAAACCATTCCGGAAAATAAATGCTATTTTTATGCAAAAAAAGGATCAGTTACGTTTTTTATTCTAAACAGATTCAAACACTTGGTATTTGTGAGTAATTGAACAAATATGCTACGATATTCGAAAAACATACGTTACTATACACATTTTAAAATAAAACGGATGTGACTATCATCTGAACACTTCCAAATCTGTAACCACATGTGCCTTGGCTTGCGTTGGAATCTCGGTCTGTATGCGGCTTTAGACATTAGAAGTCGCTTAAATGGAAGCAAAGTTGCGTACTTAGGTAACTAGCAAGATGTCGCTTAGAAAGTTTTGAAATTCAAGGTACTTTTGGGAAGAGACGGAAAAACCGAATTTTCTCAAAAGGGTTTTAGTTTTAGTGGGATTTCAAAACAAATTACACATTAACATTGCCACTTTTTCTCCTCTAAAAGATGGGGTACTTAGGATGTTAAAACGTACTAACCTCGTTTACCTTCACTTGGTCGTGACTTCAAAAAATTATATCGGTTTGAAGAAGCAAATGTACAATAGCTTGTGGTCAGATTTTTAGTTGAGAATCAGGAAACTCGAGGAGGAGCACTTTCATGTATTCATAAAATGAAGATATGTCTACGATATCTCGGTGACCCTGGATATCAACAAGGTATTGCTCAGGAACTTGGTGTTAGTCAAGCAACGGTATCTCGGACTGTGGATAGAGTTGTGAACAGCATAGTTGCACAGTCGAACGAATGTATCAAGTTTCCAACTACCAACCATGAACTGATGAGTATATCAACCGAAAAGGGAAACCTACTTTAAATATGCAAGCCACTTGTGATGCCAGAGAGATGTTCACAAGTGTTGATGTCAGTTGGCCTGGATCAGTGCGTGATTCCAGAATAAGGAGAAACTCGCAGACTAGATCACAACTAATAAATAAAGCAAATGTTGTAATACTTGGCGCTGACGGTTATGGTATTGAGCCATGCCTTATGACTCCCTTCAGAAAACCTACTCCAGGTGCAGAAATTATAATAAGCTTTTAAAACAAGAAATAGTTATAACTGAACGCTGTTTCGGCCAACTGAAACGGCGGTTTCCTCTCCTACAGTATGTTTGCCGCGTAAAGTTAGAAAATGTGCCGAAAATAATTATTGCTTGTATTGTACTCCATAATGTTGCGAAGAGCTTGAGCGATCCTGACTTTGAGTTAGTTGAACAAGACCCAGATGAAGATGAAGGAAATCATGAGAATGACGAACTTCCTCTCCGCCAACTAGGTCAACAAATAAGAAGAAACTTGAGTATTATAATAAATAGTTTTACTGATTAAAGTGTATTTATAAGTTATAATAAGTTTTATTTTCGTGAACATCATAAGTTACAGGTGGCTTCTGACGCTGCTTCATTTCTAATTTCGTTTTATAATACTCTTGTTGTAAAATACTTGTTTGGTACTGCTGTAATAGGACTAGAGTTGCAGTTCTTATTTCTGTGTTGCTAGTTGCTAATCTTTTTGGTGGCAATGTCTTCTGAATTGCTGCCACTGTAATACGAACTGGTTGCTCACTGCGCTCGGTATATAGTTCATTTCCTTCTTCTTGAACACTGCCAACTTGAATGGCACCTCTGATTTTCCCAATTGTAGGATGACAGTACAAATACCAGTCAACCTTTTACTTCTTCTTGGAGGATATCCTCGCGAGTATAAGGTAATCATTATGAATATGAAAACAAGGATATGCTTATACTTCTACCTTTTTCTCCGAAGCAAGACCTTATACTTTTACCTTATGCTTCCGAGGATATGCTTCTCTTTTATGAATACGGCTCATTATGTCTAATTGAATGAATTTTGACTTTTGTCCTTTAGCATCAACTTTATTTTTCCTATAGGACGCCATATTGGATATTTACAATGGTGGATAGAGTTTGTGATTCTGATTCCAAAAATATATAATGTTATACATAGACATCGTTAAGCCTTAGTTATTTAAAAAAAGAAATATAATTCCCTAGGTAGGCCTTGAAATTATCGTATAATCATTTGTTTCGTATATCGAATTTATTGAAAAATCATTTGTTTCTTTCTTGATTTGATTTGAAATCTTTATTTATTTCTTGGATTTATACGAAATGTGTTTTTAAAATAAATTGCATATTAGCATTGTCACACTCTCTCCTCTACAAGAGGGTGTAGTCAAATCCTCCTGCTTCCGATCTCCATCATCAACTTTGTTTTTTTCCAGTCCATAACTACCCATTGAAATTTTGCGTAATCGAACACAATTTTTGCTTCTGCATTGAGTTATGCATATAACACATTTATTTATGTTAGGATAGATTTCAGATACTTAATGAAAGTAATATTATTGTTAGTAGTATTTAAATGTAAAAAATTCCAATACAGCGTCCATATGAAAAAACAAAGTTGATGATAGGAGTCGAAAAAAGAAAAAACCCCAATTGAAAATTTGAACACGCCATCTCAAATAGAGTCATGAAAAAATCATTTTGTGATAACTCTAGTATACTGAAGACAAATGACTCATAATTTCAAGACCTACGTAGGAAAATCTTTTTTTTTGTTTTTATAAACTAAGGTTTGGCAATGTCATATATGACACGTTAAAAATCGAATATGGCGTCCATACGAAAAAGACCGTTGATGTAGGAGGATAATAGACCAAGTGTCATATTGAAATTCTGATTATGCAATGTTATAGTGGAAACTATTTTTAAATCGCACTGCAAATAAAGTCAGGAAAAAACTAAAGCGATTTTGGGAAAAAAACGGTTTCTTCCGCCTCTCTTCGGAATTAAATTTTGAAAATTTCCAAGCAACATTTTGTTAGTTATCTAAATAAGCAACTTTGCCCATTCAAGCGACTTCGTATCTCATACCGGTTCCGAGATCTCAATGGTGAGGGTCGAGTTTAAAACACCCGGTATAGATAATATCGCGCCCATCTTGTATGTTGCCGCGGATTGAGTGCCAAAGATCAATATTTATATGAAACCCCGTGACTCACGGCATGTGCGACCAATAGGCGATCCGGCTGCTGTAAATATTTTTTGTTTCAAAGGCAAATGTATGGGCAAATTTATGAGGTATGGAATATGTCTAATATGTGCACTGGGTCTGGAAGTGTATTAATATACTAACATGAACAAAATTGAGATACACCCTCCCCCAATCATCAAAATTTTTGACCACTAAACATTTTTTCAAAAGTGATCAGGATCCTCCGAAATGTCGAAATACAGGGGTTGAGGGATTTTAATTTTTTTCGCGCCCTACTGAGCGGGGCTTTGGCAAATGCTTGTTCCGGAAGTTGTTGTATCCAGTATACAACTTCTTCCCGTTCAAGTGATTGTGCATGCGTTAAGGAATACCTCAGTACCGATTGCCGGGTGGCGGTACAAGTCATCATAGGTCTATTTAATATCATTAACACGTAAAAAGTAGGTGGTAGACAAGGAACAGTCGACCGAGGCGGTACCACCCGCTAGCTTTTCCCAGGGTGTCTTATAAATATCCGCATGTTTCTACACCTAAGCTATGCAGTCAGTTATCTTCCAAAACAAAGAAATTAATGATGATGGATCCCTCGAGCACTAAGAACTCCGGACGTAAACTCACTCCACTCTCGAAAGGTCCAGGTGAAGGGTGGGCTCGAGGGAACAACCTCGAAGATAAAATTGGATTTTCGAACATCTGCGGGATTAACAGCAACATTGATGCTGTTCATCACTACCTGCAATCCAATCGTCCGGCCGTGCTTTTCTTTACGGAGACAAAAATCTCAGAGTCTGCACCGATTAACCATCTTAACTATCCAAAGTACGAGGTGCACTCCAATCTGAGAAAGAACGGGGGAGTTGTGGCTTTTATGCGCAGCAGTCTTTCCTGCTCCAGAGATGTTTCTTTGGAATCAGGCCGGAAGGATATTCTGTGGTTTCGCCTCAACATCCCCAAATTTATCTGCTGCCTTTATCGCTCTCCCTTCGATCATAACTGGGATGACCTACTCGAATACCTCGCGGTCCAGATCGACTTCCTGAACATCAATCACCCCGCTTCAGAGGTAGTTCTTCTCGGTGATTTCAATGCCCATAATGAGCTTTGGTTGAGCTCAAACAAGACCGATGAAGCAGGTCGTGCAGTTGAAGCGTTCGCTCTTACTCAAGGGCTGACCCAGCTGGTGACGTGTCCCTACTTTTTTCCCTCGCGTCTCGTCACACGCCAGTAGCCTGCTGGATCTATTTCTGATCACGCATCCTCTCCCTTACAGCACTGCTGTCCTGTCCCCCCTGGGTAACTCAGACCAGGGTGTTGTGGAGTTTAGGTTTTGTAATGCTTCCTTTCCGCAAAAAGTCCAGAAAAGATGGAATGCAATGAAGATTCCAAGTTTTCTGCACAATCACAGAAAGGGGGTTACCATCAGCTTCCGGTAGCTCAGTCGGTGGCATGAAGACATCTACAGGCGTGTAGCTGTGTGTCGACCATGGCATGGCTAGAGGATAGAAGAACAAACAGAACACAAAAATTTAACAGATTTTATTGAACTAGAAAAGCACTTTCATTACATTTGAAATTGAAATTTTAAAGAACAAAATGAAAGATTTAAATCTTTGGCGCTGTTACAAAATCATCCACTTATCTTTCGCTAAGCTGGTCCATTTTGACTGGACTGAAGCGAGGATGGCCAGGTGCTTCAAGTGGAGGTCCCAGTTATGAGGGGTGACCTCATATTTAGTGGCTTCAAAACTAGTTGTAGGCGAAGGATGCAGTGAAGTTGAACTTAAAGGTGATAGCGCTGCCAAGGCACATGCATGGGTGAAGTGATAGGCCAAGCAATGCAAAGTCAAAGACAAAGGCAAAGTCAAAGACAAAGGCAAAAGTCAAAGACAAAGGCAAAGGGAAAGGGGGTGGCCCCAATCATTTTATCCTATTTGGACACACATTTTACAAAATGCTAGCACATGGTGCTATATGGCCTCATGCTACAGAGAACAAAATTCTCAGCTCTTGTTAGGTCGGCGGCTCAAGTGAAAAGGAAGCGCGAGGAAGATCACAGATCAGGAACTCCGCATCAAGCGCGCTCCAAGCGGAAATGTTTCCAAGTAAAAAAGCTAGAGACGGGATAAGCTAGAGATGGGATTAATGAGTTGCGATTCTGAAATGAAAATCGAGAAGTGATTTAATAAATACAATCGGACAGTGAAACCGTTACAGTTTCGGTCAGAACCCGCTATGGCAGCAGAAACTCGTATAGGCCGCAAAACTTGGCATTACGGACATGCCGACTGGGAGGGGCTCAGAGACTTCTTCTCTAGCTTTCCTTGGAGAGATGTCTGTCTCACTGACGCAGATGCGTCGGCTGTCTGTTCTTCGATAAGCGAAATTATCCACGTCGGAATGGAGGAATACATCCCTCACACAGTGAAAGTGTCTAAACCAGGGTCAAACGGCTGGTTTAACAAATAGTGTGACACTGCTCGCCAGCAGAAGATCAAGGCACACAGAACCTTCTTACAAAACCCCACTGTAGAGAACAGACAAGCCGACGTCGAGTCCAGAAACAAATATTACGAAGAGGTTCGCAATGCCAAAAACCAGCACGATATAAAAGTTAGGCACAGGGTAATGTCGCAGCGCAATGGCAGTAGGTATTTCTGGACGTTGGCCAAGCAGATTGAAAAGAACTTCTCACTTACATGTCAGGATGGAACTATTGTATTCGATTAAAAGGCCAAGACGAAAGTACTAGCCAAGATCTTTGTTGCCAACTCCACCATGGACGTCCCCCCCAACGCCCAAGTGCCGTCAATTCAAAGGGTTTCCTACACTATGCGGGAGGTAACATTCAGGTATAAGACCGTCGCTCGACATCAACAAAGCTTCTGGTCCGGACTTGATTCCTGCCGTTGTACTGAAGAGGTGTGCAGTGGAGCTTGCTCCAGTTCTTTCTCGTCTCTTCCAGATAACTTATGAATCCGACACCTTCCCAGAAAACTGAAAATTTGCTCATATCTAACCCATCCCAAAAAAAAGGATCTAAGACCGACCCATACAACTACAGGCCTATAGCTCTGCTTACTGTTATAATTAAGGTGATGGAGAGGTGCATACATCGCGAGCTTCTGAACTACCTCGAAAGTCACAGCTTGATTAGCGACAGGCAGTATGTTTTCCGGCACCAACGATCCACAGGGGACCTCCTAGCCTACGTTACGCAATTGTGGAGTAAACTCATCCAGTCTTATGGTGAGACTCATGTCGTTTCTCTTGACATCACGAAAGCGTTCGATCAGCTGTGACACGCTGCCCTCTTAAGCAAACTTCTATCCTATGGCTTTCCAGAAAAGCTTTGCAGATGGGTGGCTGACTTTATCTCTGGCCGCAAGATATCCGTTGTAATTGACGTGTTCTTCTCTTCATCCCACAACGTCAACGCGGGTGTTCCCCAAGGATCGGTCTTGGCTCCGACACTGTTTCTCTTACATATCAACGATCTCCTTTCCTGCACGATCAACCCAGTCCACAGCTTCGCTGGTGACAGCACTCTACATGCAGGAATTCAGTGTGACAAGCCGATCTCTGCCGCTGAGCTGGAAAGAAGAAGACTAGCGACGACTTCCTCTCTGGCAAGAGACCTGGAGGCTATCACTGCTTGGGGACGCAACAATCTTGTACAGTTCAATGCTTCCAAAACACAGTACTGTACTTTGACGAACAAAAAGCGTCCTGGCGCTCATCCGGTTTCGATGGATGGCCGAGTTCTGCCAAAGAGTCATTCCTTTCGGCTGGTCGGAGCCCAGATCACCGAGGACCTGATCTGGCTCGAACACATCTCGTCAATAGCAGCAACTGCTGGGAAAAAGCTAGGCTATATGTTTAGGGCTAAGAAGTACTTTTCTCCGCATGACCTTCTCACTCTATACAAGGCCGAGATGCCGCCGCGCGATGTGCCTGCAGACCCACCTGACTTTGGCGTCCCATCCTAACCGTGTCGAACTTCGTACATCCAGAACTGGCCGATACGACCGCTCGTTTGTCCCGAGGGTGTCGACATTGTGGAACAATCTACAAGAGGAAGCTTTTTCCAGTTCTACTAACCTTAGGCAGTTCAAAAATCGTATTAACAAACTTTCTTTGGGATCAGCATAGCAGCCGCGGTGTTCCGGTATTTAGGCTTCTGCCTGCGCGGCTGCTTCGATATAAAAAAAATAGTTTCAAAGGCAAATGTACGGGCAAATTTACAAGGTATGAAATATGTCTAATATGTGCGGAGGGTCTGGAAGTGTATTAATATACTACCATAGACAAAATTGAGATACACCTTCAGCCAATCATAAAAATTTTTGACCACTAAACATTTTTTCAAAAGTGATCAGGATCCTCCGAAACGTCTAAAGACGAGGGTTGAGGGATTTTAATTTTTTTCGTTTTAGGCCAAACAAAAAGTTATGTCATTTCGAAATTTGTCGGCGATTACAACACTTCGTCCACCAGTAAGACGTGAAAAGTAAAAGTATATACCAGGATATTTTGATTTGCAGAAGGAAATTCTATAGACGGATTTGACAAAATAAATCATGAGTTGTTAATAGCAAAGTTGAAGTATTATGGCATAGATCCAATTGCATTGAACTTTTTTCGAAATTATATATCAAATCGATCTCAGTGTATATCAATTGAAAACAATAAATCTAGTTTTCTAGAAATGGAGTACCCCAGGGGTCTGTTTTGGGTCCCTTGTTGTTTTTGATATATATTGCTGATCTGCCTAAGGCTGACGATACTCAACTGGTCCATTATTTTGATACTGATGATATGGAAATGGCACAGACATCAATAAACAATGATATTCAAAAAGTGTATGACTTCTCGAATAACCACAACCTGTCAATAAATCCTGGTAAATCCAGCCTGTTATTTTTTTGTTCGGATCGTAGGAGAGAAAAAATTAAAAGTCAATTAACTATTAAAATTGGATCTCAAAGACTGTATCCGGTTGACGAGGTTAAAATTCTTGGCGTGGTAATCGATTTCAAACTTAGATTCACCAGTCATGTTAAAAATCTTTTGAAGAAAACCTACTTGAGACTGAGATCACTATACGTATATACCAATACAGCAATTTTCAATTATAAGCTAAGGAAAAAACTGTGTCCATCTTTGGTTATGCCGATTTTCAACTACTGTGATATTTTATATTATCCGTGTCTCAATGTTGTTACTAGAAATCGGATTAAAATTGTGCAAGACCATTGTGCTAGGTTCATCTGCGGTTTAAGGCGCTTTGACCATGTTTCTGGTAGTCTTATTGAATTAAACTGGATGATAACAAAGAATATTGTCAAATGCCATTACCTTGTTTTCATTCATAAGCTAATGCTTATTGCAAAACCTATATACTTAAGAGAAAAGCTGATCTTTAGGCGTAATATTCATCATAGACATATTAGATTTCCAGATTTGATAACTACGCCTATTCATTCCACAACTTTATTCCAGCGTTCTTTCACGTACACAGTGCTTAAGTGTGAATTCAAAACCATGTCCTTAAATTGCTTCAAGAAAGCTGTCAAATCTCATATTTGCTTGGGTCCATAGTCTTAATTAGATTGCTATAGATATATTGTTAAATGATTCTTCACTTCTCTTGTCTACATGTAGTAAACCTTGGTGCAACATGTATGTATATATGTGTGTATATGTATGTATGTATATATGTATGTATGTATATATGTATGTATGTACATGTGTATGTATATATGTATATTTTGTTTGATATCTGCTACTTAACAACTTTTTTTTTTGCTTGGGTGGTTAAGTGTAAGAGTAGCATGTTGCTAAACTTCGCCACCATATGCAACTTTTGTTTCTCTGTATGAAATTGTACAGTTTAAATAAAGACGATTATTATTATTATTATTATTATTATTTCATAACAAAAGTATATTCTTGAGGGTAAATAAGAAGGTTATTCATCTGGACATTTTGGTGGGTAACTTCTTACTTGTCCATCAAAGTTGAAAAAATAACTTCTTTCTGTATATAGAAAAACTATTGAATATTGGCAAAGCTGCTTTAGAGAAGGTGAGAAGGTTCTAGAGGATACAAATAGCTACAAAATAAGAACTTATAAATTTGTCAATCCTGATAAAAATGTCACAGAGTAACATTTTCTGTATCTGTAGACGGAAAACTCTTTCATATCCATAAAGAATATAGTCCATACGGATTTTTTTTTCCAGAAACAGGGCCCGGTTTTGATTAGCCAGCCTGATTTAGTATGAGTATGCAACTTCCACGACTTTGCTGCTATAGTCGTCTTGGTCGCCTAGTTAGATCCTTTCGATTTGAAGAGTTTCCAGTTAATAGTCATCTTTTAGAATCTGATCGCTCTTAGCTGATAATCTTCAAGTTACAACCAACTGTTTAAATAGAATGGATATGAAGTTGGATATTTTACGATACCTACATCAACAGCTGCAACAGATTTGAATAAGCGTACATCTACTCCAAAAATACAACTTTATTTCATTATACTACAAAAAAATTACATTAACCATCTAGATATCACAATTGAGTCAATAAGATAGGAAACACCAATTTCAAACTTGCCAAACACAAGGCTGATCTGTTCTTACATTACCTATAAGTAATACTACTAATTACTAACTACTAGAAATTCCGTTCTTATTTCTCAAGCTTCTTCCTTAATACTTAAAATACAAAATGAGGTCAGACTAAAACCTCTCGAAGATTCTGTACTGGATCTAGAATAAATGTGAAATATTTTCTATCAAGCAGTCTTAACATATTGGAACAATTTTTTGACTTTGTTTCAGGTGAATTAAAATAAAAAAGCTATTACTTTTAAGTGCGAGGCTTAGACTTATTCAAAAAATAGTTAAACACATGTTTCTGGTTAGATGAATATAGAAAAATATATAAAATTCAGTTGTCAAATATTCGTTCTGGTTCAGTTTCTGGAGGTTCCACCCGTCGCGAGTGCCATCTATGGAGGAATGGCGCAACCACCATTTTGCTGTCATATTTTGCGGTTGCAGAGGTTTAAGCCTTCACCTTGTGGGTCGCAAGCTCGTAGAAAATGAATGACACCATAACTTGATTTCTGATATATTGATTTTGCGAACAAGGTGAGACTATTACAGCTTGAATGGCTATTTGAGAACGCATCGCGATAGCGATAATATTTGTATGATAGTATTCTGTTTTTACAAAGCTCTACGGAAGCCATCTTCGAGGTAAAGCAATTGCACAAAAATTAACCTATTTATTTTTTATTTCCATCACCCTCTCCATCGTCCTTATACCCCAAAGAGCTCAATTCGTATTTAATTTTCTCGCTGGATTCGAAAAACTTTATCCAATCACTATAGCAATAATCTGGATGCACACCGCCATATCTCTCAGGCAGATGTTTCGAGTCGATGTGTTGATGGAGACTCTCCATATTTTCTCCATGAAAGAAAATCTTTTCTTTCATTTTACTGTCCAAGAATGGCTTAAAGATGTTGTAGACTGCATCGAAGATCCAGGATTGGTTGACGATGTGAATTGCGTGGATTTTCATCGGAAAGGAGGTCTGAAAATGGAACCAGAAGGTTATTTTATTTCTTCACCTATTCACTTTTATATTATTGTTTGACAGCAACATACAGAACTTTCAAAAACATGTCGCAAGTTCTGAGGGGCTTTTCAAGCTTATTGTGTGGATGCTTATGGTACTTATGGACCATTACAGAATGACTGTCTCTTTTTTACCGTTCGTAAGCTTTGATGGGATTGTATAGCTGTAGTCACCGTTCTTGGCGGGTCAAAGTAAGACTACCGGTATCCCTTTATACATCTCCATCTCCCTCATACATACACATGCAGCCTACCCCTGTGAGTGAACGTTTGTTCGGTAAGCTCAAAGAGATACGTTCTTTTAGTTGTGTGTCTCCGTCTCGAAAACTTTATCGTTACGTATGAGTGCCCTTTAATCATATTTGTCAGAGTGACAATTTACGAAATGAGTTGTTGTGTTATCAGTCTTCAATATAAAATTGTACAATGCCCGGAAATACGAACAATGGAGGAGGCCGACAACTCGTGCTAAATTTATTAGAGTATTTCCAAGGAGAGAACGAAAACACCGATCCCCTGTTACCCACTTCATGCGTTCTGGAGAGAGTAGCAGATGCGCTGAAAATTAGTCTGCGCAGTGTTACGCCCATATACAACTATACCTTGTTACTAGGCTTGTGGGTCTATTTCTAGTTTGGAATATATTTCCATTTACTGGATTTAAAAAAATAATAGATTGTTATCTCTATGATTACCCCTCTTTCTGAAACGCTGTGTTTTCCACCTAGGCATTTTTGATAACAGATTCTTACAGCACCTCTAGATAATATCGCATCTCTAGGGGATATGAGGGATATGATATAACGTCTTTAGTCACGAGGTCATGGCGAGATTTTTGTAGAACAATTCTGTCAAAGGGACGTGCATTCATGTTTTGAACAAACAAACATGTTCTATATGTGCGTGACTGTTTTGAGTCCGAACAACTTCAGCGAAAAAGTTTCGAGGTTCTCTATTAATATAGTTTGGAAATTACTGCTCGGATTCTGATAAATTTGGACACCAAGGTGGTGCTATGACAAAAGACCTTAAATGCTTTTACGTATGGTAGAGCAGGAGTAAGTAAAAAGGGAAAAGTTGAGAACGTCAGTAAACTTAATATTTTGAATGTAACCGGAGTTGCTGAATATTTTTTGACGTGGTATAAAGGTCAACACCTAAAAAATTCGAAAATTTCTTATTTGACGGTCTTCTACTTTCTGGTTATTTCGGGCCATGGTAGAAATATAGGTTGTTCGAATATTCTGAAAGCACGCCTTCTATGTTTGCATATATCGCTAAGAACGCTAGAAATTTTTTGTAGCTAAAATGTTTCTGAGCCGTATTTGATCAAGTTGTCAACCTACTAGGTTTCACTTTTTTCTCTTCGTATCATTCTCGAAAAAATGTTGAAATTTCCATATTCGTTATTTCGCAAAATTGTGTGACTATAAACGAAAAATGTGCTTGTAGTTTAATCATATTAGCATATGTTCCCGAAAAAAGTCTGGTTTTATTGGTGCAAGTTGTTCAAGGGAATATTTAAAACATTTACGCATAAAATGGGTACACCAATTTTTTTGGGAAAACTTTTTATTTGAAAGCAAATAATGAGAAAACGTGTTTTTTAGGATTTAATCGAAAGTGTGTGAGACCTACAAAATGAGACCACACGTAAAAAGATGCGACTAATAGCAAAAATGTTATTGCCGAAAAACGAAGCAACATGCAGATTTTGGCACTTGTTGGTAATGCGAGAATAATTTCAAGCAACTACTTGATATTCTTCAAATCCGTATGAGTCATACTTCTAAATAACAACAACAAAATTAGAGTATATTGGTCAAGTCTAATATGATTAGACTATCGGGTTTCTGCAAACATTTGCAGTTATCAAAGTTGATGTAGCGTTAGTGAAACGCTCATAGATCAACCACCAATCAATAGTACAAAAGTCAGAATAATACATTTGTTCAGTCTATGCATCGATTAAAAACAAACTACAGGGGCTATTTTTTGATAAATCTTATACCCGTCGGGGCTATTGGTCTTCACTGGGCCATCAAAACAAGTATAGTATATTTAATGCTAAATGAAGTGACGAGATGCCCGTTTTCATTCTTTCACGAGTGTGACTGACGCGATACGGCTGCTCTGTTGTACAAATTATTGATTTCATACTTTTTTGTCTGCTTCAGTTTTTTTCGTTCTTTCTGTTCGGTTTAGAGTTGCTATACCGAAATAAGTAATCAGACTGTAATAAGGTGATACCTATGCATTTTTGTGAAAATGTTCATACGTAACGTTGATACAATCCAAACAGAATGATGAGAGGATTGCATAGTAAGCACCTATCAATATACCTGTACATTTTTAGTCTTGTTGATGTATTGTCCCTCATCCATTGCACAATCTACTAAGCTCTCGCCTCTAGCGAGTCGATAGTCTTGACTAAATTATAAATTTTTCGCTTATTTCTAACAAGCAAGTTATGAATACTTGTTCTGAACTAAAGGAAATTCATTGCTGAAAAGCCCCGGTAAGTCCGAACCTTTAAGGAGTATGCTTTGATTTATTGCCGCTTGACGCTGTAAACAGCGGTATACCTTCCGTAGGCGATGCTTATCTGGCAGCGTCGGAAACTTTGCACTGTATAGCTTTTGGTTTACCGATTCTGTGTCAAAACCTACGCCAGACCTGTGTCGATACGATATATGATACAAATGCGTCATCCTTGGCTCCGTCTTCTGATGCCAAAAGACATTCTAGTAGCGCCTCTCTAGATACTATCTTGATGATTAAAACCGTCTGTCTGTATTTCCTGCCGAATGACTCAGTCAGTAGGATTTAAATTTCATCCCGGACACCGATATATCGTGACCATATATTTCATATCAAGTCGCAACGTCAAAGAATGATTATTTTATTCACTTCTACTGAAACCTAACCTCTCGCAGAAGTAGCATTATATTCCATCAAACTAAATATCTTGTCAAGCATCTACTTACCACCATGATTTGCACAATTTTGTGTGCAATAGAAGGCGTCATGTACCAAGCCTGTTGTAATGTCAGTCCTCCTAGGTCAAACATTGCTACCCCTCCTAAAATCTGAGCCCTTTGCTCTAGGATAGCCAGTTCTAATACTATCATAGTTGCTTGAAATAATTCATCTATTGTAAATTGTTCTGGGTCCCATTTACCTAAAGAAAATATATATCCTGAAGTTACGAAAAATGACGTAAAGTAGGTTGACTCCACACCTCCCACGCAGCGCCGTCATCAGTTCATAAAGGATTATGTTCAGCACAAGTTAGACAGAGACATATCGTGCATAGGGGATATTTGCTATCCTTCCGTTCGTTGTCCCAGAGACCAAGCCTAGACTATGCTGATGATTTGGAAAGAAAAGGACAAAATAGCTGCCCATCGTTGGCTGTCTTTGGTCGGACAGACAAAAGCAGCATGTTCAAGTTAGACCCTTTGAGAGAGAAGTTAGTTGCGAACATGTATAACAGAGAAATTAAGCGAATCAAGTCTGTAAACAGGTCCATACAATTAGTCCATAGACATTATGTCTCTACTCCATCCGTAGTTCCGTTCATCTGACAACGTCGCCTCTCCCCAATATCCGATGACATGTCAGAAGCGACAGCGCTGCAGAGCGCAGTCATGCCAAGACACTTATGGAGACGCGGGCCATTGAAGCCAGACCGCAGACGTAAGAACTCGTTTCGGAAACGTTTTGTTTGTCCTTGGCATAGTAGTAATCATGTGTACAAATTTCATCCAAACCAGATACTTTCCAAGTGATAGACGGATCAAGGATTTGCGGACAGACCGAAAGACAGACATTTTTCGTGATGTACGTCATACAATATCTAAAAAACATATCTCATTATCGAAATTTTTCGCGATTACAATACTACCACGCCGGCAGGCGTGAGAAGTAAAACAAACATACATATATGTACTATAGACGTAGTAGGCGCCTAAGGGCTAGCTCATACTGGGGAACGCAGAGCACCGAGAAGGAACAGCGCGCACCTCTACTTCATTTTGATTTACCCTGTATAACAATTTAAAAAGTAGCTACCAACCAAAAACTAAACATGCAAATTAAAACTGGAGGGTGTACTCATCCTCTGACGAAAAAACTGTCAAAATAGAATTATGACGTTCCGAATTTTTAACAAAATTTTGAGTTACATTAGCATTTGAGTGTATTTTAGGTTAATCGAAAAGTTCTGTTCGTTTGTAGGTCAAAATAAAATAAGATTTGTCTAACACCTAAGGTATAAAGTTTAAGAATGATATGAGATTCATCATCAGTGCGTTTTGGATATAGCCTTCGTTTTTGGATTTTTTACCCCACTGTAACTGTGACTTAGCATTATAAGTAGTATAATAATTGTTCTCTTCTAAAACAGTGCTTCTTCTGGAGTCAAACTATAAGAATATTCAGATGTAGGTGGGGTATGTAGACTTCAGTTTTTCGGATCAGCTTTAGATTTGCGGTGTGCTCCCGATCTCTAGGTGCTTTTGACGCTACTATGTGAGAGGCAACTTTGTTGACGGTTATTGGAACGTTGCCTTGCATCTTCTACCTATCTAGACAGCACTGTAACGATCTCGCATAACTGATCGAGATGCATCTATCGATGTTAGAAAACTTCGACTAAAGTTCGCGAGATTTGTGGAATTCGTCGAATTCAAAATAAGTACCCAGGCGCCTCCACCAGAGGTCAACGGACAGCGACCGACGAGTCCAGAGCTATAGTCAAGTCGACATGGTTATACATTTGTCATATATTAGTTGCAAGTGGTGTAATGAATTAGGTAAGAGTAATAAATTAGACTTTGGACAGTAAAAACGGTGTTTTCATTACAGCATGTTATAGATACTGTGGCCACCGCATGTCAATGAATGCTTATATTATCGCGAGGATTTTTCTTATCTGAATGCACTGCCGGACCAAAAATCCTCTTCAGCTATCTCCAATGCCGTTTGCTGGTACATGTTAGCTTTGCTGGGGATTTTATTCGCAATATAATTTATACCGGGTGTCCAAATAGTGTGTCAAAGCTCAATATATTCGTTACTATTAGAGTTGCAGAAAAAAGGTAAATATAAGAGTTGTAGGCAGAGCTAAGAGCTACAACCTTAAATTATTTTTAACTATACAGGGTGTCCCATAAATTAGTGGCAATATAATCTTGTATTTTCTTAAATGGAACCCGCTATATTTCTGTTGATTTTTAGAATGAACGATTTCGGAATATATGGCCACTTTTTCGTCAAAATCATTATACATTTGACTTCCCGTATCTTAAACCACACTTTCGTTAAAATTTGTTTTATTATACTGAGTGATTTAAACAGTGCTAGACATTCGTATTCTACGTTTTTTCTGTACATATTTAATTCGAGACATACAGGGTGAGTCAAAGTAGAAAGATGTAATTTCTTCTCGAAAATTTAAATCAAACACCCTGTATGTTATAACTCTATTGAACGCATCTCGTAGTGCTCTTAAAGCGTTGCCTGTACTCAAATCTAGTATTTTCTGAGATATTCCATGTTTTAGAAGTGAAAACCATAATTATGGAATTATTAGGAAAATATCCGTCAGTCATGCTATTAATAAATCTATTGATTAAAATATGTCACTGAGTAGTTAAAAAATGTAACTAAATGCTTACACACACCTGCTACTATAACAAAAAACACTATACTTATCTGTGCTAAAGAACCTTAGTAATTAAAAATAACCACAACTCTGTAACAATTATGATGATGATAACTAACTAAATCTATTTATCTACTTAACTAATTGTACGAAGTGCCCACCACCAGCATCAATACAGGCCTGCAACCGACGTTTAAATGATTTGAGAACATTTCGTTAAGTCGGGGGACCTGGGTGGCCATCTCACTGACCCCCTGAGGGAATTCAGTATAGTTTGTGTGTGAAAGAGCTCCATTCCTTCTGGCATATGTCTCAATAGAAGCCGTAAAATGTTTTCCAAAAAGTCCAGATAATTTTATCCGTTTAATGTAGCATTGAAAAAATGTGGCCCTATTACAAGCTCTTAGCTCTGCCTACAACTTTTGTATTTAACTTTTTTCTGCAACCCTAATAGTAACGAAGATATTAAGCTTTTACACACTATTTGGACACCATGTACATGCCTGCGAAAGGATTAAATTTTATATTGGAAAGGAAACAAAAGCTGTATCTATCCAGAGAGCTATCCTTAAGGAGTGCAAATATACTCTGAATTAATTAATCTCATCTTGAAGAATAGATTTAGATATTAAGTGACATAAAATTATTAGAACCCAAATAAAGTTACTTTCTAGAGCCGTTGATTATAAATAATAATTAAAAGTTTATATTTTTGCACTATAAATAATGTTGAGCTGTTCGGACTTTCTTGCTATATACACCTATAGTTTGACTGATGGAATATTAACAATAACCTAGTTGATTTCATGTCTCTAATGATGAGAGTTATTAAATACTCGTTAAGCAATGGATGTGTGTATCTGTAATTAACTTTAAACACATTTTGCAAAATGAGTAATTGCTTTGGACTAAGTCGCGCATATACATATGTAATAATTCGTCTGTACATATTTCCGAAACTAAGTAAACGAATCGTTACAGACGTTGCACGCAATTGCATATATCTATACTTATGCTCATACATCTATATTAAATATTTGTGTATAATTTCCTGTCACGGTCCTTTCACAATGATATTACAAAAATTTGGAAACGTTTTCATGAAACGACCGCCTTGTTGGAAAGTGGCGAAGAAATTGATCTTAGATGTTGACCTGGAAAAAAAAACGCAATGAAACAATCACAAGAAGGGCTATCATAGTTCTAGTTACCTAAGTTCTCTAATTAAGGCATCAACATAACTTTAGTAACTTTAGAAAATTGGCATATTATAATAATAATAATAACTATATCGGTACCAGTGTATTTCGAACAAATTATTACTTATCTGCATTCCATTGTAAGAACGGTACATAAAATTTAATTCAGTTTGATAACTGACCAATAAAATTTTATTGCTGACTCAAGAGTAGACGAAGTCCATCAGCGACAAAGCTTTTTTGGGATATTTAAAAAAATGAAGTGTATACCACGTGCCGCATATATGGGGGAAAAGAATAAGACCAATCATTTGATCAAAAGTTTTTTTTTCAGTGAAAGAATGTCATCAACAGATTTTACAGAAAATATCAATGTTAATATTAACGTAATACCAATGGGCAGGTGATTTCCAGATTTCGGTGAATGATCCACATACATATTTTTGCCATGGCCGGTTGAATGACCGGGCTCTGCTTCCTCATTGAATGTTTAAAATATGGATGTTAGGAAGAAAATGAACAAAACAACCTCTTTATAATTAAGTGAATATACGAGTAGGTATTGAATATAAAAAAATCATCAAGTAAAATGTGCAAAAGCAATAAGATGTTTTGCTCCTTTTCAATGCAAAAGTTCATAACCGGTCTTTTGAGAGGTTATGGTATGTTTAGTGTTAAAGATGGAAAATGAACCTTGCTCAATCTTCTGCAACTCTTTCCAAAAGAAATAATCAAAAACTGAATTTCAAGAATGCTTCGTTATTTTGTTGATATAGAAAACCCGATAAGGTTGATAGTTTTTATATTTTACTTCCCACGCGAATATACGAATCTCTAGATATACTTGCGTTGCATTCTGACCGATTGGTGGCCGATGTGGTTGGCGAGTGGCGAAGTTACTCATAGCAACGTTGCCAAATGGTCGGTACCGTCGGTAGGGAGAAATTTCTAGATCGCAACGTCCTCAAATGAGTAATTGGATGGTGCTGCTTGACTGACTGAATCCATTTATTTTTTTTGTAATACTTGTGCCAAACATAATCCTTTATGAACTGATGACAGCGTTGCGTGGGAAGTGCAGAGTCAACCTACTTGACGCCTTTTTTCTCTATAAAAGTAGTTATAAGTGAACTACCCGACATTGAAATCAGATTTTTTGTTGCTTGACGGTTTTGACAAGGATGAGCTCTGGAACGCATACTGTCGTGTTAAGCACCAAAGGGAGGGTTTGCAATTAGAAATCAGTGTCACTTTTTCTACTCCTTGAAAGAGTTTTTTCAACGTAACATACAATAGTTTTCTTAGAATTCTACATTTTGTTTGACGAATGTGTTCAAATCAATCAGAGGTTGAAACTCTGAACATATTATTCTCGTTCTCATGCTAGGTGCAGCTACCTCCTCTGCGCTTAGCAATATTATACATTATTATTGTATACAGGTACATATATACCTACCCATTCTATATAGCAATATTCGCCTCCCAGTTTGCTCTCTATATGGTGGAACTGTTATGATATCCTTATCACCAATTCTCAAAAGATTTCTTAAGTTAACTCCATCGTAGAACTCCGGATTGTTTTCTTTGAATTCGTAATAATTGACCAGCTAAAACAGACCGATCATGGTAATGTGAAAATCTTTATTTGAATGAGCACTCGTACCTATAGCTATCTCATGTAAATGTTACGGGAATTATGAGAAATTGGCATTGAGGCCAATGCGAAATGGTCTTCATTGCCCGTAACATAAACACATGAATACAGAATACAAATAAGGCCGCTTTTCCGAAGAACGTATTTTTCTACTGGAACATAGTTCATAGTTCAAACAGAAACCCAAGAATTTTACGAAAGTAGTAAAGAAATGTTGGAAGTCCTAGAAAACATTCCACACTTTAAAAGTGAAAATTCCCCAGTAATTACAATGGTCGTACTTAAAATTAATGTAGTATGTGCCTATGCAGTTGTTTTTGATCATTACAAGTTAATGAATCAAGCTTTTTTCCATGCATAATGAAGTAACCAACTACAACAACAAATACTTAACAGAAATTCTGAGGATATACCATTAGATACAAAATTTACAATTTTTCTTGAGTATCGATGAATACTGAATTATCTTACCAGTCTATGAGCCTTTCTGACATTGAACATCCGAGCCCTAAGAAAACGGAGTAAAAATGCATCGTCTGTTCTGTGTGGTATGCACTCACCTCGCTCTGAAAAAAAATACAAGAATAGAAGAGGTCCTCACCCGTTCATGCATAATGGACATAGTCCAAATTATAAATTAACCTTGGCACAGCGATCACTAATTATCCTGAAAAATATTTCTTCTTAACATTAGTAGTACGCCTGAAGTTATTAATAGCACAAGTCATTCAATAATTGTAGTCTTAAAATAGAAAGTTTCGTTACTTCCCCGTTTTTCCATGTTTATGTAAATTAAATGGAGTTAACTACAATTGAAGATGATTCAATAAACGGTGATAGGGTAGAAGGTACAGTGAATATAAGCCGAAAAGATAGAACCACAGATCCTCAAATGCCTCCTTGCTAAGTTGCAGATACGTTTAGGAATGATTCTATAAACATTCAAACTCTATTAAAAAATTCAATTCAGTCTCTCTAGCGTAAAACATTCTCTATGTCCTCCGCCCCATTGAAAATTTTGTCTGACTCTGTTAAACTTTGCTTTTTATTGCTACATGCTTTGATGCGGTAACGCTGCTTTTATGCCTGAGTTATAGTGCATTTCGTGATGTTATGTTTTATGCCATCCATGACAACGTATGCCAGTGTCAAGCACATTAGGCCAGACATTAGAGAGTATTTAGGGCCGGTTTTTCAATCGCTGGTTAACTTTCAAGTTTGATAATTATAACTTGTAAGCACGTGTTTCAATTTCTAGTTTACTAATATATTACGGTTGATCTGGCAATGCTGCCTCTACGTCTGGAATATCGTATGTTGTGGGGTTTGTGACGCTCGATGTATGTGTGTCTTGTCATCCGCAACAACTCAAAAAATGACATTGTCACTTTGCAAGTTACGTAATGCCCCTGAGGGTCTCATAATAGTGTCTTTCAGGAGTGCTATAAGTACGCATTTATGTTGCGTACCGGCCACGTAACATATGTCACAATTTTTTCTAAACAAAAAGACTCTTCAACCAAAAGCCGCAACGGGACCCTTGATGTAGGTGTTAGTATACATATTTTGGAAAATCTCCTAAGATGTCGGAGATATTTAAACTTTTGTCAAAGATACTTCAGTGGCCGTAAAATGCAAGTCAGATTTATTCATGCGTCAATAAAAATAATTGCACAATGTTATGATTGGCAAGCCCATAAATTTATTTATAGCAACAGAAAATGAAACAATCACCATAAATCAAGTTTCTCAGCTCCTCTAAAAGCTCATCTCTAGTTTCTAGATCCTCATTTATATTTTCTTTTGCCCATTCCAACAACTCCTGAGGCGGTTCTCCTAGATCCAGCTCAGACAGAACGTCTGTATCGGCAGGCATCCTGTGCAGATCTAGAAAGATAATGATTAATAATATGTGCTGGTATAATTACTGATTTTATCAAATAAAATGTGCAATTATGCAAGGTGCTATATTTGATAGTGATTTATTAGATGGCATGGCGTCATTGTATAAACCCACAACAGTTTAATGTATATGGTTATTGGAACAAGTTTCACAAGTACCTATGATTAAATCAGAAAATGCTATAGTATAGACAGAAAGAATGCATCATTTATTGAGTTCTGATATTGTTTTGGTAAAATTAGCAATTATATGTATAGATACGGGTGGTGCTATTTACGAATTGCTGTTGGTTTCAAGCAAGATACCAACGTTGTACAATTCCGTTCGTGGATATATGAATTTATCCAAAACATGGTAATTCGCAAGACCAATATCTAGTATTGCAAACAAAAGAAACCGTTAATCTACATACCCTCGTAGTGTTTGAGAAGCCAATAAAAAATGTATATTTTCGGGCGCTGTTGAGTCGAAATGTTAGGTACGCAAGGGTACATGAATAGACCAAATGCTCAACAGAAGTTTACACCTTTGGTCATTGACAGAAGGTGACACCGAACTAGGGTTGCCTGCCGCCAACCTGGCGAAATTTTATTTTTTTTGCATCGCAACCAACATACAGGGTTAAAGTTAGTAGTGGATCAACGGAAGTCAGGTGACAGAGGGCCTCAAAACATATCGAATGAACACCTATATGTGTGGTCCGAAATTTTATAGTTCAGGAGATATTTGCAATTCTGTAAAATTTCGAAAAAAATACGGGATAATGAACTTTCAATCGCAATTACAACTACGCCATTAGGTTTAAAACTGTGATTTTTTTTAGATTAGCTGAATGGTTAGTTTTAGCAATGCTTATGTCACTTTTTAACAGAGCTAGTTAGAAATCAAAGCAAAAATCTTAAATTAATTTTTTTATGAAAAAAATCTTCCATCCCTCAAATTGAGGTTATATTTCATTATTCATTTTATTGTAAAAACTATTTCAGTCCATGTGGAGTATGCTCTGAAAATTTCAGCTTGCTACAATAACTGCCTCACCTTAAAAAATCTGAATGTTTGACGCAGCTGGGTATCTATACATGGAAACAGGAAATTCTATGTTATGAGCTACAATCCAAACGAGTTGATGGATTTTGACATACGAGGTACTGTTAGATTCGTCCTAGCAGTCCGAGTGATACTGTGTATATCAACATTTTGTAAAATCAAAATGGCGGATTTTTACGCAAATATCCAAATCAGCTTAATGCGCTTGGACATTCTACTCGGCATTCCAGGTGTGGGAGCGTTCAATCTTCGGTCTGACCAAAATTACTAAGTCAAGCAATGGTCCAGCGCGGAATTTGTTTCTAACGTTTGGCATCTGAGTAGAATCATGTCATATTTTCCGCGAGTTTAAGCAGCAATGCATTACTATAATTGGTGCTGCCCTAGGAAACAACGGGCGGAATATCCCGACTACCGCGTTTTTCTACGCGTCCATAATGCGTATATGGAGAGCCGCATACTAGGCACTCATCGTCAACTAGGAGCGCCGAGGATACGCCCAGAAGAAATAGAAGATATAATAGAAGCAGTCGAGAGAGATATATAAGCAACAGAGCCATTGCCCGAAGCAGAAACATATCCCATACTTAAGTGCACACAATACTACGCTCGGAGATTATGCCTCCTTACCATGTACAAAAAGTACAAGAGTTGCTTTCAAGCGACTATGCAAAACATGCTGATCTTTGTGAAAATATGTTGAGAATCTTTTGAATCTTATGGTCAGATTAATCCAACTTTAACCGAAATGGAATATTCAACATGCACAATTTCCATTCGTGGAGCGTGGAAAATCCGCACACTATTCGCTGACACAGCTTTCAATGTCAGTTCGGCATTAATTAATGGGCTGGAGTACTCAACAAAAAATTAATTGGACCATATGAACTGCCGCCAGGTTAGATGGCTAGTCATATCCTGCTTTTCTACAAAGCCGTTTGCATGAGCTGCTAGAGGATGCACCTTTGGACGTTAGAAGCCACATGTATTTTCAATGCGATTGTGCTCCATGCTACTTTGCATTACTTAGACCTTAGACAGTGCATTTCCTAGGCGTTGGATAAGTAGAGGTGGACACATACGATAGCCTCCAAGGTCACCCGATTTAAATCCTCAAGATTTTTTATAAGGAGACAATCTATACATCTGAATAAACAAATGTCAACCAACTGCGCCAGAAAATTGATAAAGCAAAAATAAAAATTATGGAAAACGAAAATTCATTTCAAAGACTAAAGGACAATTTTATTAGAAGGTGTCGCTTTTGTATAAAAAATAATGGAGGTCACTTCGAACATGTTCTTTAAAAGTTAGTTAAATTAAATTATCTCCCGCATATGTCGGTAAATCGCCATAAAGAGCTGCTAAACACAATAGGTTCTGCACTTGTAGGTGGTAAGGATTCTATTGCGTTTCTTACGTTTATCGCATCACAACAACGAATGTGACATGATACACTAAACGTAGCAAGCTGAAATTTTCAGGGTTTATTCTATATGGATTAAAATAGTTTTTACAATAAAATGAATTATGAAATACAACCTCAGTTTTTTTACTGCCCTCCAAATTTGAGGGATGGAAGAGATTTTTCACAAAAAAATGAGTTTAAGATTTTTTGCGTTGATTTCTAATAAGCTCTGCTAAAAAGTGACATAACCATTGATAAAACTAACCACTTAGCTCATCTCAGAAAAAAATCACAGCCCTAAGCCTAATGGTTTAGTTGTAATTGCGATTGAAAGTTCACAAAATTGCAAATATCTCTTGAACTATTAAATTTCGAACCACACATATAGGGGTTCATTCGATATGTGTTGAGGCCCTCTTTCACCTGACTGCCGTTGATCTACTACTTACTTTACACCCTGTATATCTGATAACAAGTTTGCGACCGTGGTAACTCGGCTATCTTGATTTGCCAGCAGACAATACATTTCTGTCATGCAATTCTTCTCTAAGTTTTAACTGAACTTGGTACTCGTTTTGGAAACGTATATTATTATCAAATTCCTTTTAGTCAAATTTGAGAGACATTTTAGTGAGTGAAATAAGTTTGGTTTTAATTACTATCCAGTTATAGCGCGAGTGATCAGAAAACAGTGCGCTTTAGTTTCAAAAGCTACACTGTTTGGAAAAATCTGGCAAAGAACTGGCACTACACAATTACTCGTAAATAGTGTCATTAATATGGTGGAGTCTTATTAAAAACTGATCAGAAGACCCTGCAGCTATAACATTGCTTCTGTATATAATTATCAAAAATATAGCTGAAAGGTCAACTACTACCACATCTACAGAAAAGTACTTGAACATTTAATAGCTTGACAAGCACGCATACGATAATGAGCATTAAGTGGATGTGTTGCTAACTTTTTACGTGATTTGAACATTTCTATTAATGGATTGTAATTACATGGTTAAAAAACTGTGTTTACGTTTGGTAATTTAACAGGTATATACTACAAATAGCAAAAATCCATGACTGAACAGATTTTTTTGGTTAATATCTGAGCTTAGTTTTTAAACAAAGAACGGAAAATCAAAATCGGTGAACACATTTGGAGCTAGAAATGGAATAGCTTAAGTCTATCAAAAACATCCAAACTCTGGACTGAGAAGTATTCACAAAAACAAACCGCATAATAGTATGCTTAATGTGATTAGATACCTGTAAGAAAGACGTAATTCATAACCAAATTATTTTCAATTGAAATACAAACATCTGGCGGAATGTGATAGTATGCTCCTTAACATGTAAATTTCCTATGGCTAGTAAATCGATGTTAAATAAAACAGGTCCTAACCGGAAGTTGTCGCGCTTATACAGGGTGTTCCTTAATGATATGCCAATATTTAAGGGTTTGGACTTTAATAGTTTCAAAAGACACTTTGGACTAATATCTAGACGTAGGTACCTGTCATAGTATTGTGACAAAGTTTCATATGATATGAGAACATTTAAGGGTGTGAATCTATATGAAAAATTAATGGAAATGTAAATTAATTACTATTTTCAGAACCGCTTCAGGTATTTCAGTGATATTTAGTAAGTAGTGAAGGTTAATAAAGTTTCATATTTTTAAATGCAAAAATAATCTTTAGCTTTAACAGTGGCGTGTGTACGGGTATTGAGCTCGATATTTAAAAAAATGGTACGCCAACGGTTCCCCGTTCAATTTAAAACAAAAGATCTCTCTTGAATTGTTTTTTTTTTTGATGCACCATCTTTGAGTAAAAAAATAATAACCGTCCTATTGTCTAACTTGCAAAATTATTATTAATTTAATTGGACAAATTGAACACATTAGGGGTAATGAACAACAACAACAACTGACCACATAAACAAAACATTAAAACCAATGAAAAAGAAATTGTTGAAAATGCCCCCCCCCCCCCCTTTACTTAGTATGCATGCTTCCGTCCTCCTTCTCATGTAATTGCGCACTCGTTTGTTTTTTTGTTCTATCACAAGCTGCAACTATTCTTTCTCTTAATTCCTCTAAAGTGTTAATGTGACTTGTGTACACCAGTATCTTAAGATACCCCACAAAAAGAAATCTAAACTGTTGAAGTCTGGGACCTTGGTGACCATTCTTAGGGCCTAACGTGGCTAATCCAACGATTTAGATAAACAGTTTGTAAATAATTACGAACCGCTACACTGAAATGCGCTGGTGCACCATCATGCGTGTACCACATATTGTTTCTTATTGCTAACGGAACATCATCAAGCAGCAAAGGCCACCGTTGTTGAAGAAAATTGAGGTAAGACTGTCCGTCAAGTCGTCCCGGCAAGAAGAATGGGCCAATAAAGTGGTTGCTAATAATTCCTGCCCATACGTTAACCGAAAATTGGTGTTGGAAATGGGTTTCGGTTACGCCATAGGGATTTTCTTCTGCCCACAAATGATTATTGTGGAAATTCTGAATGGCATTT